AAAATTATAAAAATATTACATTAACTATATCAATTAAATAATATCTTAATGCTTGTATTTAATTTTATAATACTTATATATATATATATATATATATATTCATATTATTTCATTTTGATATATAAATTTCAAAATATTTTGCAAAAATAATAATGAAAATATTTTTTAAAGATAAATATAATTAATTTTAGTAAAATTTATAATAATTTTAAAAATAATAATTAAATATGTAAATTAAGAGATAAACTATTAACGTGTAATATATTTTAAAAATTTTATAAAAAAATATTTATTTTAATATAAAAAGAGAGAATGATATAATATTTGATTCAGTATTAGTCTAAAGATGTTTTGATTATACTTTAAAAAAAATTAAAAAATGGACAAAGTAACATACAATAAAACCTATTGAAAGAAAAGATCTAATTTTTAACATTAAAAATAATAATATAATATTTATATGTTTTAGGATAGAAGAATGTAATTTACTCATAAATAAGTAGAGTCAAAATAATCAGCAATTACTTAATCAGCAATCCATTATATATTTATTTTTCAATGAGTCATTGTTGTTTTATTATTTTAATATTATGGATGAAATAAGAAGCAGTTGTAAGACAAAATTACTATTGTTACCCAAGACATGATTCAAAAATCAGAGGAAAGCAGAAGAATGAAAGTTAAAAGAATGTGAAATAAACATTACAAGCTTCCATTGATGCATGGTATTAATTACAGAGAAAGAGGTTTCACTAAAAACAAAAATAATAATAAAACGAGGAACAAGACTAAAAATCCCAAGTTCCCCAAGAGTTTTTTGTCTGTGTGTTCTTTCCTAGCTAGGCTAATTGATGTTGAAGTTGAACCACATTTTTGGTATGTGGAGCAATATACAGGGACAAAAAAACAAACAAAAGAAGTAATGATGATATATGAGTCTAACCCAACCATAAACTTATATGGCAATGATAGCCCTATACAGTCGAAAGATTTACATTGTTTTGTAGTTGATGTAAATATGAAAGATTAAGCGGCACCACGATTAATCATCTGCATGTACTGTTCCAACGATTCTTGTCTTTGCAATCTCATCTCCTCGTTGAACTTGTTTATGAAGGCTTCCACGCGCCGATTCAACTCGTCTTGACTCAGCGACGGTTCTTTCCGTAGCTTCAGGGGCGAATCCTCGGACTTGTTTTGGTGTGGGACCTGCCACGTGTCACTCTTCTTCATGTGTCTGCTTAATGGCACGGAACGACCCTCCGTTATCGCCTTCCACGTGTTCTCCAATGTCTCGTGCCGTTTTGCCTTAGCCACCACCCTCAACGCTCTCCCACCTACAATATACGCTTTCAACTTTCAATCTTTCCTAACCCTAAGCAAAACGACAACACCACCGCCTATAACTTATAACACTTCATTTCATTCACACTTCACTATTCTACACTACATTTTTTTTTTAAATTCATATAATAAAAAGAATGAGAAATTCAATTAAATAAATAATACCTTCGGAAGTGGATTTAAGAAACTTCCGGTGAGAGAACCTAGCAGAAACCAGAGGCTTCTCCATCTGCGATGGAATCTCCGTTGAGTTTGTTCTCTCCATCGTTATTCTTTCTTGGATTACTTTCTTCTCTTCTTCTTCTTCTTCTTCTTCTTCTTCTTCTTCGAGCGGGGCTAAGCCGTTACGCAGCACGGCCTTTTCTTCCGGAATGGAGGGAACGGTGGAGTGGTGGAACTTGGAGGAGGCGACGATGGAGATGATGATGGCGTTGAGGATGACGAAGAGGTAAGGAGGCGTGGAGCAAAGGAGGAAGAAGGTCCAGAGAGGAGGGAGGTAGGCGGCGGCCACCGGAAGAGAGGCCTTGAGGCCGAGCGCCGCGAACATGAGGGCGGCGGAGATGAAGAGGACTTTCAAAGAAAGCATGTTGGCCGGAAAAGTTGACGAGCTTTGAATGAGAGAGAAAGAGAATGATGAGTCGGAATTTATAGAGGGAAGGAGACTCTAATCATCAAATCTCAACCGTTGGATACACTCAATTGGTAGGCCCACCTTTTCTATTTTATTTTACTTTTTCTTTTCTACATTAATTACTAATTACTAATTACTAATTACTCATGCTTTATTAGTTACTACTACTAATTACTAATTACTCATGCTTTATTAGTTACTACTCTTAAATAGTAGCACTAATATTAATATTAACTGCTGTGATTACTTCTATTGTAGATGTGGACCACCATTTCGGAACCAATTCATCACCACTCAACTTCTCTAACTTGCTTAATTACGGAACCAATTGATCTCCCATTAACCCAATGGAAAAAGGTTTCTAGTTTTTCTTCTACTGTCACTCTTTTTTTTCTTGGATTGAAGAGGTTTACTTGGACCCTCTAAGCTTATGATGTAAGCTTATGAATTAAGCTATCTACATCCAACAACAATTGGATAAGTTAGAATTTAGGACATATCAAATAGGTTTAAAATTTTTTACCACAAAACTTAGTGCAATTATTTAAGTTTCTCTAATCAAAATTAAAATTTTATTATAAAATTTGTATTAAATGCAAGTATATATTGTTGAAGTAAAATTTTAATTTTGATTAGAAAATAACATTAATCATATATAATGAACTTTACATAAGTTTTGTCTAATTTTAAGTATTAATTAGATATTTTTAATTTTATAAATTTGATTTTTGAAATTCTTAATTATAGTTAAAATATATTTTTTAAATTTTTGTACTAAGACTAGTAAAAAAAAATACTTCTTTTAGAGAATAGTTTATCCTAATTGTGACATGTTAGGTTTGTGTTTACACAAGTATTTCTTTAGTACAAAAAGTATGTAATTGTATTTGATATACGTATATCTCGAAATTGTGTATGTAACGTGCACTGCCAAATATTTCTCATTAAAGACAATAAAAAGGTAATTGATTATCTATTTCTACAGATAAAGGAGAAAATATCCACCGACCAGATAAGAAAGTTTTATAGAATATACATAAACATAAATTTTAGGTACAAATGATTAATATTATTCTCTAATAAAAATTAAAGTTTTATGATAAAATTTTAACTTTAATTTGAGAACAATGTCAATCATACTTAAGGAATTATATATAAGTTTTCTCTAATTTTAAATATTAATTTAGTATTTTTAATTTTATAATTTTTTTTATAACTCTTATAGTTAAAAATATATTTTATTTTAATTTTTGTACTAAAAATGAGTTTCACTAGTAAAAAAAACATTTTTCAAGGAATAGTTTATCCTAATTGTGATGTATTAGGTTTGTTTGTGCACAAGTATTTCCCTAATTTAAAAAATATGTGACGGTGTTTGACACAACACGTATTAAGTATGATAATCTAACCCACCCTCGTGGGTACCTGTCCGAACCCGCCTCGATTTGGACGGAAAAATCTGTGTTTATCAGGTTCTGGTTCGGGTTCGAGTTCGGATTTCCCCGATTGATAAAATCGAGAGTGGGGGCGGGGACTGGGATGTTGATACCCACCCTGCCTCCGCCCCCG